CTCCATTTTTGTATGATGTGTCAAAGTGCATTCTACTGTCATGTATAACTAATTAGGACAAATTTTAAAAACATATTTTAAAAAACAGTAAAAAAAAAAAAAATAGTGGCTTCATCGAGGAGGTAGCACATGAAGGATTTCTGGGGTGGCTAGCAAGATGGCTAGCTGTTTCCTTGATAATGGTTAGGACATTTTAAATTCATTAAGTTGTACATTTGTTTTATGCTGTTTTCTGTATTTGTGTTATATTTATTTTTTTAATATTTATTTTGTAGTTGTAGTTGGACACAATACCTTTATTTCATTTATTTGTATGTGATGCTGAGGATCAAACCCAGGGCCTTGCATGTGCTAGGCAAGCACTTTTCCGCTGAGCCACAACCCCAGCCCCTGTGTTATATTTAAGCAAGCAAAAATACAAATAATTGTTGGGAAGTAAACATCAAAAAGGTGTTTACATGGGCTAGGGTTGTAGCTCAATGGCAGAGCGCTTGCCTCGCATGTGTGAGGCACTGGGTTTGATCCTCAGCACCACATAAAAAAAATAAATAAAACAAAGATTGTGCCATCTACAACTAAAAAAAATGTTTAAAAAAGGTGTTTATATGAAGGAGCTGGGAGGGCAGGAGACTGAGTAGAAAGCTGAATATTTGACCTGAATATTTCCAGGAATTATTATTTAGTTCTGGGGATTGAACCCAGGGGTGCTTGCCACATCCTGAGTCCTTTTTTTATTTTAATTAGAGACAGGGTTTCACTGAGTTGCTTAGGGCCTCGCTAAGTTGCTGAGGCTTACCTGGCCACTAGAAATAGACCGGGGATGATTTACCAAGCCCATGCCTAATTTATTCCTGTAGTCCTAAAGCCTCAAAGTACCTGACCACAGTGGGAAATTCAGTAAATACATTGTTGAGTCAGTAAACGAATTTGGAGAAGCAGCCAGCCTAGCCTTCTCAGGGTAGAATCTGGGTACCAGTAGCCATCATATTCATTCTTTGATCTTAGTGGACTGTGAAGGAGTTTCAAACTAGAGTGCCATTTTAAATTCACGAGTCTGGTAAATTGTACCAATTTCAGGCTCCTGACCCAGTGACTAACCTTCCAAAATGACAATGTCATCTCCTGGCCTCACCTGTGCTCTCTAGTTAACCCCTGCAGTTCCCTCCCTGCCCCTTCCTTCTCTCACAGCCTTCCTACTGTGTTCTCTGAGCTCTGTTTTCTTCCAAAGACAACACCACCTCCCTTGCAGGCTGGTCAAATGGCTGCACATTCTGTCATGTCCTGTTACAAAGAGGTTCTCCCCAAATCTCCCCAGTAGCTTGTCCGTCCTCCAGGTGTTCAAAATCTCCTGTGACTACATCCTCTAGTTTTTCCAATTACTGTAATTTTTGGACAGCTTTGGCAGGTCTTCCCCTCCTCCCCAATTTGTGCCATTTTCCCCACCATTTGGATGGATAGCATAACCAGGGTGCTTCTCATTTCAGTCATCTTCAAGAATCCCTGGAAATAGCTGGGCACAGTAACACACGCCTATAATCCCAGCATCTTGGGAGGCTGATATCATGAGTTCAAAGCCAGCCTCAGCAATTTAACGAAGCCCTAAGCAACTCAGCAAGACCCTGTCTCTACATAAAATACAAAAAAAAAAAAAAAAGAAGAAGAAGAAGAAAGGACTGGGGATGTGGCAAGCACCCCTGGGTTCAATCCCCAATACCAAATAATAATTCCTGGAAATATTCAGGTCAAATATTCAACTTTCTACTCACATTCTCCTGCCCTCCCATCTCCTTCATGTAAACTTTTTAGTCCCATATTCCTTCCATTCCATGGTCTTCTTCAATACCCAGCCGAGATCCCAAGGTAGATTTCTGAAGTACTCAGGGCCCTCCTCACCTTCCCTTGTGTCTACTCTCCATCCTTCCTTGTCTGCCTTCCTTCCTTCTGCTGCCATCACAGATCCATGGTCTTCTATCTTTAGTCCCATTAGCAACTGCTCCAGACTCTCAGGCTCCTCTCACACCCCCTGGGGCATGGGCATATGGAGAAGATGGATGCCATGAGGTGAGTGCTCCTTAAACTTAGCACTTCCTGTAGCTCAAAAGTAACTTACATCGTTCCATCTCCCCAACCTCTTCCTCTTTGTTCCAAGCTCTCTCTTATCTTCCACCCTGGGCCAGTGGTTCCCACTTTCCACCAGACTTGTTCCTTTCGACTTCCTCTTACCCTCCAACTTTCTTCTTGCCTGGGAACTTCAGGACACTCCGATATTCAAAGAAAGAGATTCCACAGCCCCCTCGAGGTAATATGCTGAGCCCTGTCCCCTGCTGGCTCACTGTGTATAGTAACTGTTTCTTTAATGAATCTCAGTCGCTCACATTTCTCCTCCTCATGATACTTGTCAGTTATGCTCCGTAATTTGTCACTTGTACCCTCCCACTCAGAGATCTCTCTCAAAAGACCTCAATATATGGGGCTGGGGCTGGGGCTCAGTGGTAGAGTGCTTGCCTTGCAGGTGTGAGGCACTGGGTTTAAGCCTCAGAACCACATAAAAAATAATTAATAAACAAAGATATTTTTTTAAAAAGACCTCAATATGGTCTCCTTGTCCCCAAGCCCAGTGGACACAATTTTCAGCCCCTTATACCAGACCTATCTGTTTCATTTAATCAGTTGACTTACCCTTGAACTCATTTCCAAGTCAAGCCCTCTGACTCTTCCACCACCTCCTTTATGGACATTTCTTTCTCTGCTTCTCCTTTATATCTTTACATCACCCTATAGACCCTGCTCTTTCCATACTAAGTGGTCACCCAGGGCAGGCACATCTGCACTTTTATTTTTTCCTTCAGTACTGGGAATTGAACCCAGGGCCTCTCAACCATGGAGTTGCATCCTGGCCCTTTGTTTTTTTATTTCGAGACAGTCTTGCTAAGTTGAAAAGGCTTGTTATCCTCCTGCCTCAGCCTCCAGAGTGGCTAGGATCACAGGTGTGCGCCACTGCACCCATCTGCATCTGCACCTCTGATCGCAGTCATTACCTGTATGCTGATGTTTCTGCCCAGATCTCTCTGTTAAGCTCCCAACTCCATAAGGCTCTGGACACCCATGATGGTGTTCCATGCATGTTTTAAATGTAAAACATCATCTCAAACTGAGATGTGAGATCTTATTCTGCAAATCTTTCCAGTTTCTCAAGAAAAAAAAAATGGTCTTCTCTATACCAATTTCATTTTTTAATTTTTATTAGTTATTGATGGACCTTTATTTATTTGTTTAAATATGGTGCTGAGAACCAAAGTCAGTGCCTCACATGTGCTAGGCAAGCACTCTACCACTGAGCCACAACCCTAGCCCTATACCAATTTCATTTCTTATCCCCATAATCAGTCACCAAGTGTCCTCTACTTCCTGAATGTTGAACTTCTTCCCTCTAAGCCCCACCGTCACCACCTTGCTTCACATCAAGCTTCTGATTTCTCTTTGATTGAGATGTCTCCCTCTAATCCAGTCTTCTAACACCGAAAACTGAATGATTTTCCTCAAACGTGAACTCAGTTGTTCCCCTCTCCTGCTCAAAATCCTTCTATGGCTCCTCAGTGCTCTTAGGTCTGTATTCCTGAAGGTGGCTTCTGAGCTTCTTCAGGATCTGCCCTCATTGCTCTCTCCAAGCCCATCTGTGATCCCTCCGTCCCTCACTTTTTACAAGTCAGTTTTCCTGCATCACATTTAGATCAGCACGTGTACACTTCTGCCCCTTAACATTGGTCTCTCTCCTCTCTTCTCCTCCTTCATGGCCTTCCTGACCTTTGCCTGCCTTCTTGTCCTACAGCAAAACTTTCTCCTAGTCTATCTACCCCACCATATGCACCTGCAATTCTCTGTACCCAGCAAGTTACACCTTATTTGTATATGTTCATCTCCACAACCAGGCTTACCCTTGTAAGACAGGGTCTGTGTTGTGCACGTTACAACGTGCCACACTGTAGGAAGCAAATTAAATGTGTTCCCTAATTATGTCTTCCCTTTGAGATGGTCACTGTTATCTCCCCTTAGTCAGCGGGGATTTAGAAAGAGGTCAAGACATGGGCAAAAGAGTGGAGCCTTGGGGCTGGGGTTGTGGCTCAGCGGTAGAGCGCTTGCCTAGCACGTGCGAGGCCCTGGGTTCGGTCCTCAGCACCACAAAAAAATAAATAAATAAATATATTGTGTCCAACGACAACTAAAAAATAAATATTAAAAAAAAAAAAAGAGTGGAGACTTGTTCAAGTCAGAGTCCCAAGTACAGAATCAAGCCCGAGCCATCACAGGAGTATGCAGAGACCACCAGCTGCCCACTCCATCTAGCCATGTATCGTCCAATAGAGCCCCAGTTTTATTTGGGTTAACATGCCTACTTAACATTTTCAGCCTTCTCTGAAGCTGCACATGATACAGTATGCATAGGATTCAATCCTATGGGATTTCTAGAAGTCTTCAAGTAGACCAGTAGCCATCTTGGGCCATTCAGTTGGGATTTTTTGTTGTTGCTGTTTTGTTTTTTTGGTGTTGAGGATTGAACCCAGCTCCTGTGCATGCTAAGTCGATTTGATAGAGACAAGCACTCTACCAACTGACCTATATCCCCAGCATTCCCCATCACCCCCAATTAGGTATTCTTGAGGAAGGAAGCCAGGATTGAAAATGACAACGCAGAAAAAAAAACAGGAGCCTGGGTTCCTAATAACACTGTGGACTTTATGGGTCATGTTCTGACTTCTTTGGGGTAGGGAGGCTGGATCTCAGTTGCCCAGGCTGGATGGCCTTGAACTTGTAATCCTCCTGCCTCAGCCTCCCAAGTAGCCAGGGTGACAGGTGTGTGCTACCATATCCAGCCTTAGTTTATTTTACCATGACACAAAACATCAAGCCATGGTAGGAGGGCCCTGTATATCCAGTTTAATCTCACCACCACTCCCCCTTGAGCCCTTAGGACAGGACTCAGAAACAGCAGTCAGAATGGGTGATATAAAGTGTTTCTTTATTTGAATGTCATTCCACCTGCACTGAAGCTCAAACCCAGCAGCAGCAGAAGGGGTCAGGTCCAAAATAAATGGTACCAAACTGGACAATGAACGGCAAGGACACATTCAGACGGAACTTACTAATGGGGTGTAGATGACACCAAGCTACCCTAATGACACAGCACAGGCCCTCAGAGCTCCGACAGAGCCCTGGGGAAGGACTATGGCTCCCTGTTCCTTTCTCAGGAAACTCCAGTCCCTCCCAAAAGCTAGCCCTGAACCAGGCAGGGGCCTGTGGAAGTTTCTAGTGCTGGGAAGACCCCAGCTTCTCCAAAGACAGGGTTTCCCTTTCTTAATTCACACTGGAAACTGGAGGAGGGCAATTCTCCCTGGTCTCAAGCAGGAATCTCAGAAGGCCAGGGACACTTTCTATCTAGCCCTATCTAAAGACACTCACCTTATTCACTTTCCAGGCCTAAAAAGGATCTTAATCCTACCTACATTCTCACCCCTTCGGAAAGTTTTCCTCCCTAGGTTCTGGTTTCACATCCCATAACCTAGAAGGACTTCACTGATCAGCACCGTGGGCCAGAGACTGAACCACTTCCAGGTTGCGGCTGCTTTCACTCTTCTTGGAAGAATTTCCAGGGTAGAAAAAACTGGATTGTGCCAGATCCCCTGATCCAGTCACAGTTGACATAGGACTCTTTCAGGGACACAAGGCCAGGAGGTTCTTGGTCAGAGGACTTCCTCTCAAAGGCCAAGGCTACTTTGCCCACATAGGCCTGCCTTTCCATGAGGTCTTCATTGCCCCAGGAGAGTCATCAGAGTCTTGTGCTTGACCAGGCCTCTCCCGGGCTCTTGGCTGAAGCATCTGCCCCCACCCTCTGCTGAACTCTTAGGGGCGAGGCTATAGTTTGGCCCCCAATGCAATTTCTGTCCCTTCTCCATGCTGGACTTCAGCCCACCCAACCTTGCTTTCCTAACCCCAGATTCCTTGGTGCATCTCCAGGTTGCCTCTTGCTCTACCCGGGCCACATCTGGCTGTATGGAGGGTGGCATGGGAACCTCGTCAGACCACCCAAAAGGGAATTAGCTTCCCTCTTCCCTACCAACCAGCAGCGCTAATCCATTGATAGCAGGAGCCTGGGCTCCTTCCATTCTGGTTGTGGTTCCCCCACTCCAATCCTTGGAGAGATGGGGCCTTGACCGCTTGGGCCCCAGACCTCCAGCTGCTTGTCATCTGAGGGGGTCAGTTCTAACCTCTCCACAGAAGCACAGGGGTCTGGTGGCACCCATGGGCAGCAGCTGTCCTTGAAGGAACAAGCTCCCTCTTTCCCACTGTTCTCACACAGCCGCTTTCCTCGTTCCCTGTCACCTTGCTTCCTTCATCCTCTCCTTCACACTCTCTTTCCCAGGCATCTCAGGTATGCACCCTGGAAATCTTCTCTCCATTTGCCTCTTCCCCTATTCCTTTTCCGGCACGTCTCTCAGATCCTCCCGCCCTCCCTCCACACTCTCGCCACCTCTTTCTGCCCCTCCTCTCGCACGTCTGTCTTCTCCTTTCCCCTGTCTCTGGTAACTCTGCACCTCCCACTCTCCCCACCTCTCTTCCTCATTGCCAATCACTTGCTCCCGGCCCCTCCTGGCCCTCTCCAACTCTGCCCTCTTCCTCTAATACTGGGCTTTGGTTTGACTCTTTGGGGACCCCACTCCTACCCAAACCCAGTTCCTGCCATGGGGCTCCCCTCACCCTCCCATGTAAAACCCTGGTGTCCAGGTTGCCTGCTGGGAAGGCTCCTGTGGTGTGGCTTCAGGGAGGGGGTTGGTAGGGACAGGTTGGGGGAACACAGTGCAGGGCCCAGAGCTTTGGGGGAGTAGGGGTCAGGACTTGGTAAGTTCCAGGTGTCAAGAACCCTCCCAGACCCAGCATCTGACTCTAGTTAGGGTCCAGAGGAAGGAGCCGAGCAGAGGTGGATTCTTGAGAATCCTAACTCTCAGGTCCACATCTTACTGAAATGAATACAAGGGTGGCAAATACATGGCACTCCAGCTGCTTTCCTCCCCTCCAGGTGAGGCCACATTACTAAATGATAATGCACTTCCCGGTGGAGCCTGCAGGGGGCGCCACACTCTTTCTCAACAGGAGACCAGGCAGCAGTGTGTCTGGTGGCACACTAGCTAGTCTGCTGCCCTTGACTGATTGCAGAAAGGGGTGGTCCAGGCCCCAGGGTGGAGAACTTCCAAAGCTAGATGGCTCTGCCACCAAATCCACAAGGTAATGAGAGATGTTCAAAAAAACACCCGGAGTCCCTCACTTGCTCCCTGCTAAGCCCCCACAGTGGGAGGAGAGGGTGAAAATTTCTCATCTGCCCCTCCACAACACACACGCACGCGCACACACTCACACATACTCTCACACACACACATACATACTCACTCATGCCTCAGCTCCAAGCACTGCCCATTAGGTTGCAGACCCTGGGCACATCGCAAGGCGAGAGGTGGGCAAGGAGGAGGAAGAGGCAGGGACAGGGTAACAAGGCCTAGGGATGGGGACAAGGGTACCCTGTTCAGAGGTGACCTGCAAGTTCAAGTTATGCAGAAAAGTATCAAAGAGGCAAGACAGTCTCTGCCCTTGGCAGATGCCCATGGTGTGGGGGGCATAGGAAGGGGCAGAAGGGGTAATGCATCCCCCAATTCCCCATCTTGGACCCCCCTCCCCAACCCCAACCCCGACCACAGGGCCCATAAGTCTGTGCTGTACAAAACAGGCCAGGGTCAAGGGTCCAGTCACCAAGGAGACATTCCGGCAGAGGCCAGGCCAGCCCCAGGTTGAGCAGCTTGTAAGTTCCAGCTGCCTCCAGAGCCTGTCTTTTCTCAGATTCTGGGCTGACCAGGGCCGCAGTCCACAGCTGACAGGGAATCCCTGTGTTTTCTCCCTTGGCACAGCTCAGATTCCTTTGGGAGTGCTGGGAGCAGGCTGGAATAGAGGCAGGGGAGGCCCTGGGAGGCTGGTGGCACCGGAGCTCTGTGGCAGACATGGTGGAACCATCCTCGGCAACAAAAAAAAAGGAAGAGGAGGAAAAGTCCAGCCCACCTGCCCACCTGGGGCAGTGTCTTGAATAAATTCTGTAGTAGACAGGAACCAGAGAGGCGAGGATACAGCCAGGCAGCAGCCCTCCAGGCTGAGAGAGCTAGAACCACAGTGCCTTCTTCCCCTGGGGATCTGCAGGGACCTCCAGGCTCCAGGCCAGTCTAGAGAAGAGAGGAAAAGCCCAATGGACTGTGGGGTTCGGGCTCCTTTAGGTTAAATTGAGGCAGGAGCCAGGATCAGGCCCCCCTAGGGTCTAGAGCGCCTCTCCCCTCTGCCAGGCTATGGACAGGCCCCATCTTCTCTTCAAAGCCTGGACCTCAAAGGCTGGTCGTAGGTGAGAAGTCGGTCTGAGATCAGGTCTTTTCTCGGAGCCTGAGTGGATGGATGAGAGAGCAGGAGACAGGACAAGCTGAGATCAGGCCAATCCCTGGGCTGTGATCCTGGCTTTCAGGGTCCCTGTGAGTGAGCCACGGGGCAGGGAAGGACTCCCCATCCAGAAACGTCAGCCCCTGGCCGCAACACAGAGCTTACTGTAGAGCCCACAAAATCTAAAACAGAGAGGGGGAGAGATGGAAAAAGTCAGAGACCACCAGGCCATCAGGGCTCCCCGCAGCCACTCCTCAGGCCAAAAGTGAGGGAACACGGCACAGGCTATGAAATGCCAATCAAACCATGACTAGCAGGATGGCCTTGCACACGCCATCCAACCTCCCCCTAAGCCCCAATTTTCTCATCTGTAAAATGGTGGTAATAGCTTACTTCACAGAGTAATTCTGAAGGGTCAAAAGAGACAGTGTCAGGTAGGCCCAGTAGTGCACACCTAGAATCCCAGTGACGCAGGAGGCAGGAGGCTGAGGCAGGAGGATCGCAAGTTCAAGGCCAGCCTGGGCACCTTAGCAAGACCCTGTCTCAAAATTTAGTAAGCGGGGGCTGGAGTTGTGGCTCAGTGGAAAAGTGCTTGCCTCATATGAGTGAGGCACTGGGTTCAATTTTCAGTACCACATATAAATAAATAAAGATACAACAACTAAAAACTATTTTTAAAAAAATAGAAAAGGGTGGGGAGAGCTGGGGATATAGCTCAGTGGTAAAGTGTCTTGGGTTCAATCCCCAGTATCGCTAAAAAATTTTGAAAAAAAAAAAATAGTCAGCCAAGGACTTGGCACATAGTCAATCTTAAAAGTTGTGGTAATTTATTTGGGTTTTGATTTTTGTTCCTCAGAACTGAACTGAAAGGCTGGCTCATTTTGAACCCCCCATGAGGGATGGAGAGCCCCTGCCCTAAATGAAGGCAAAATGGGGCTCCTCTTTGACAATTGTTAAGAGCATTAAAGAGAAAGAAGAGAGATCCCCAGTGGGCTCAACTGGCCCTGGTCAGCTCAGAGTCTTTTCTTCAGAAGGGGCCCACAGCAGTCTTGGTCTTGCACTTTGAAAATCTGCCACCAGAGGGCAGGCCCTGACCTCACACCAAGAGCACAGAAACCCCTGGGGTAGACACTTTTGTACCAGAAGGGGGTCTCTCAGGACAAGTTAGCAGATCAGTGTCCCAGGAGGATCCTGAAAAGGGAGCAGAAGGTCTCTTGCCTCACCAGGCTGAAGAGCTTGGACTTTAGACTAGGGCCTGTGTTTTAAATACCACTCCACCATTTAGGTGACCTTGGGCAAATTACCCCACCTCTCCATACCTGGGCTTGCTTTCTCCTCTGTAGAAGTGCTCCTGATGCCTGCCTGATGGGAAGTGGGGAGAACTGACAGTGTTGGTGAGTAAGTTCCCCATATGTCAGACCCTGCTCATCTCTTTGAAGAAGCAATCTTTCTTCTTTACCTGACAGCCCTAGGAGGTAGCTCATTTTATGGAGTTCAGGGACTAATATCACCCTCATTTTATGGAGTTCAGGGAACTAATACTCAATGTTAATTAATTTTTAGGGCCAGCCTGCTTCCAATTCGATCTGCCTTCACAGTCTAAGACTTCTGCCATGATACCAATTATCCTCTCCTACCAAATGAGGGAGCATGGTGCGTATCCTGGCTCCTGCCTCAATTTGACCTAAAGGAGCCCGAACCCCACAGTCCATTGGGCTTTTCCTCTCTTCTCTAGACTGGTCTCTCCTCTCTGTGGTATAGGAGAGGAGAGACCCTCACCCCCCAAAAAAGATGAGTATAATTCATGCAAAGTGCTACACATAGATCTGGTACATGCTCAAGGAAGAGGGTAACTGTGAAAATTACTACCCATTTTCAGAGTAAAGAATGAACACCCAGACAAACACACAGATGCAGTCACCCAGCTCTGGGGGCAGGCGGACCTCTCGATCAAAAGACTGTGCTTGATACCACCCCTTTAAAGAATCATCTGGCACTATCATTTTTTGTTTTGTTTTGGTACTGGGGATTGAACCCAAGGACACTTTACTACCCAGCTACATTCCCCAGCCCTTTTTATTTTGAGACAGGGTCTCACTAAGTTTTGTTGAGGATCTTTCTAAGTTCCTGAAGCTGGCCTTGAACTTCTGATCCTCCTGCCTCAGCCTCCCAAATCTCTATTATTATAGACATGCACCACTAAGCCTGGCTTATAATTAAAATTTTGAGCATGCAATTCACTTCTTGAAATTCCAAGGAAACACTTGAACATCTGTATGAAAAGGCAGAACAAAGGTGTTCAGTGTAAAAATGTCAATAATAGTGGAGACCTGAAAACCTCTATAATAGTTTCTGAAAGAAGAGTAAAATAAAGTACATACAGTTCCTTCATCTTATGTTATGATGTGTGTACACTCATAGAAAAGGGTCTGACAAAAGAAAAGGGTCTGACAAAGGCAGTTACCCTGAGACTGTGGCTTTATGTGTAAATTTTTCTACATTGTATTTTACTGTTACTTGATATATAAAAAACTTTATACTAACCTATAATATACTAATATAATATATAATTTATTCATTATATAGATAGCATACTGTCATAACCACCTATGAACCACACCCATTCAACTGAAGGAGGGTTGAGGTTGTAGCTCAGTAGTAGAGCACTTGCCTAGCACATGAGAGGCACGGGGTTCAATCCTCAGCACCATATACAAATAAAACAAAATAAAGGTATTGTATCCATCTACAACTAAAAATATTTAAAAAGAAAAAGAAGAAGAGGAACTAGAGGAGCACAAGTTTGAGGCCAGCCTCGTCAACTCAGTGGGACCCTGTCTCAAAATAAAAAATAAAAAGGGCTGGGGTATGGCTCAGTGGTAAATGCCCCTGGGCTCAATCCCCAATACAAAAAAAAAAAAAAAAACTATAACTCTACCAGTGATTTGCATATACCTACATGCCCCCATCTCATGCTTCAGATTCCTCCCCTTCCATCCCAACCACAGATAACCACCATCCTACCTTTTGTATTTATCATTTCTTTGCTTTAAAAAAAAAAAAAAGACACATACTGTTACCCTATGTTTAAACAATAACATTGCTTTCTTTTGCTTGGTTTTGAGCACAATAATTGTATCATTCTGTCATCTTCTGGGATTTATTTTTTCCTCTCAATATTATGCTACCCAGATGCGTCCATTCTGTGACAGGTAACTGAAGTGGGTTCATTTTTACATGGCCGAGGCATCCCCCCTGGGTCCTGGCCACGTAGGCTGTTCTTAATTGTTTGCTGCTGTGAACCTGCGTTCTCTGCATTTCTAAGGGTCTCTACACTGGGGTGGGTTTGCTAGGTGGTGGGCATGAAAATGATCAGATCTGAGGGATTTCATCTAGCTGTTCTCAAGCTCATTGTGTCGTCTGTAGCGTTTCTGATTTTTGCACGACTGGTTATTTGACCTGAAATTGCCCCAACCCCGGGCCGAAGCCTTGCCCTCCCGCACTCACCCTTATTCTCCTGCTTGAGCTCCTCCTGCAGCAGGTCTGTTTGCCGGTTGCCCAGCACGAAGGCGAGGAAGGAGAGGATGAGGGCGTTGAGGATGCCGATTATGGCCAGGATGTACGCCCAGCGCACCGAACAGTCCCCCAGGGAGTACTTCCCTGTCTTGGCCCCGCACATGTCCCGGATGGTCTCGGCGTCCCAGCCGTCGGGGAAGATCATGCAGCCCAGGACGAGGCACAGAGCTGGCGGCAAGAGCCGGGCCCACCGCCATGGTCAGGAAGGGAGAGAGAGAGAAGGGATCGTTACTCTCTAGATCCTGGGAACTCTAGAAATTCCCTCAGTCTGGGTGCCAGTGCTGCTGCTCAGCCCATCAATGCCAACACTTGTTAACAAGTCCTGTAGGTTCCAGAGACAGACATTGGTACAAGGAACTTCATAGAACCCTCAAAGCATTCTCCCTCCCCTCTAAAATCAACTCCTCCTCCAGAAACCTTCTGGGAAATGACAAAATAGCAAGCCTGCCCTGGTGGCACACTTCTATAATCCCATCATCTCGGGAGGCTGAGGCAGGAGGATAGCAAATTTGAGGCTAGCCTCAGCAATTCAGCGAGACCCAGTCTCAAAATAAATAATAATAATTAAAATGGCTGGAGATGGAGCTTTAGTGGTAAAATACTCCTGGGTTCAATTCCTAGTACCAAAAACTAAGAATAAAAAATAAAGTAGTAAAGCACAGCCTCCTCCAGCTCCCTTTAACATCCTAGCTAATCTTAAATTCATACCATCTCACACCCTGGTCTCTTTTTGTTTGTTTTTTTGTTTCATTTTGTTCTTGTTTTGTCTTTCATTCAACTATTGTTTATGGAGCCATTTCCCTTTCATTCAAGATGCTGGAAATAACTATCTGGGCAACTGCACTAGGAAAACAGGACACCAAGTGCCAACCACAGGGCTGAACCTAGTTCTTTCTCTTACTAGCTGTGTGAATTTGAGGGTGCTGCAGTGGCTGAATGGATCTGTTTCTGCCAGAACACTAGAAAACACAGTATTTGCCTCACAGGGTGGTGAGGAAGGAACGCTTATAACACATCGGGCAGTGGCAAGCACTCACACAGGCAGTATTTTTTGAGGGCCTACTGTGTGCGGGTACCAGACAAGTTAGGGGAAGGGGCATTTAGATTTGTGTCCCTGGAACTTTCATTGGGGGAGTGGAATATTACAGCAAAATGGTTAAGAGGGCTGGGGCTCTGCTGTTTGCCAGATGTGTGACCCAGAGTGAATTCCTTCAGCTTTGTGCCTCAGTTTACAGATCTATAAAATGGGGAGAATGCAGATATCATCAAGTGGTTGCAACGATTACAAGGGGAATAACAAAGTTCTTTGCATCAGTGTTAAACATAAAGGATAAATGTTAGCTGTAGTAGTAAAACTAGTCATAATGATTAAAATAATAATTATGCAAATAAATAATGGGGAGTGGTTTCAGGTGAGTAAGAAACTAGCCAGAAAAAGGGAGAAGGGGCCGAGGGGACTTCTAAATAATTCCCTGGTTGGCATCCACCCGCTTTTGGTTAAGCCACCTACCTACTTTACCTCTGCCAACCCCAGCCTTGATGCTAAGGACGGTCTCTTCCAGCACTTAGACTGGGTTGGCTCAAGCCTAGGCCAATCAGCTCCTTGATTTCCTCTAGTAACAGCGATTGGCCCTGAGTGGGGCACATGCTACATCACAGGCCAGTCAGAAGCATGGGACTCAGTAGGCTAAGGCGGAGACTTGTCTCCTCTGCAGAGCTGACTCTGCCTGACTGTTGCCTTGTTACATCTGTCAGTCGCGCCAGCCCCCGGGTCTCCATGTCTAAGATCTGAAGGTTGCACAGGGCTCTGTTTGGAAGTATGGGGCCCTCGACCCCGTGACAGGCCCAGAGGGTGATTAACCTTCGTTTCAGATGACAGAGATGACTAGGGTGATGGTCAGTTCTGTCCACTGTGTATGTGGCCCACCTGGTATCCAGGGTGGGAAGGGGGCTCTCAACTTTGCCACTCCCTCATCTACTGTGCAAGGCAGTGCTCCCCAGGCCCCAGACTCCTCAAGCCTCCAGCAGAGTGGGCCCCCTCTTCTGCAAGAAGCTGCGGGGATTCTACTCCACTCCCCAACGTGTGCTCCTCATCCTGATGCAGGGCTCCCCAAAGGTGACTGGATCACACACAAATTCTAGGGGGCTTTGTTTACACTCCTCCAAGGCAAATCTCTGTTCTAGTGGAACTCACAGTTCCTCAAAGACTAGGAAAAGAGTTCCAGGCAAAGGAAATGGAAAATACGGAAGCCCTAAAGCAGAAATGAAATGAAGAATTAAACAAGTCTTGGGCTGGGATATAGCTCAGTTGGTAGAGTGCTTGCCTCTCATGGACAAGGCCCTGGGCTCAATCCCCAGCACCACAAAAAAAGAAAAAGAAAAAAGAAACAAATCTGAAGATGACCATTAGACACCCCAATAGAGAGGCAAGTCGGGAACTCGGGGGAACGGTTTGGAGAGTCAAATTTGGTTGCTGTGGGCACTTGTGGGTATTTAAATTCCCGAGACTGAAAATTATGGAAACTGAAGGGAAGGCGCAGGACTCAGCCCTGGGGCATTCCTGCATTGACTGTGCAGGAAGAGGAGGAGCCTACTGGGAAGGATTGACCATCCCTCTCCCCACAGACCCTTGACACTTTGCCAGACCCCCTGAGGCCCTACTGGAGAGAGGAAGAGGCCCAAACACACGGGAGCAGAGGAAGAAAGAGTGGTCTTATTACCTGTCCTGCACTCAGCCCTCAGCGTCTCCTGGCCCTACTGAAGGGCTTCTGCCTCCCCATCCCCTGCCTCTGAGTCTCCAGCGAGATGTAGTAGGGAAGAGCCTGGACATGGGCACAAATCTACACTGGCCGTCTACCTGTCCCTCTCCTTTCCCTCCCTGCTCTTCCTGAGCACTACAGTGGCAGGCCACAGCCACACAGTCTGCTTTTGCTCCCCAGAGCATCCCCGTCTCCATGGAAACCGCTCCTGTATCCCAGCACTCTAGCCTTCCAACTCGCAGCTTAAGCTTACTGCAGGGAGACCTCCTCCCCTCTGGAACCAGGCATGGAGACCTCGGGTTCCTTCCCTGCACATTGTGTTTGGTCCCCTCTCGCTCTTTCTCCTTCCCTTCCCTTCTCCTTCTTTCTCCCTAGGCCATACTCAAATCTGAGCTTAAGACTCTCCCTTTTGTTTGTATGTCTCAACATTTAACATTCATTCAGCACCCTCCTCTTCACTATCCTTCCCTGTATTTTTCCCCTCACCCTTTCTCTCTCCTCTCCTTCCTCTCAGTTCACACATTGCACACTAAATTTCTGAGTGCCAATTATGTGCCCTACACTATGCAGTGTGCTGGGGCCACAGACAAGCACCATGTCTGAGGCCTGTGCTCTGAAATTCAATCACATTAACACACAAATAGAATCGTTATACATGTCAAGAGTGCTTCAGAGGAAACCAGCTAAAAGCTGAGACCCAAAATAACACAGGTGGCTGGAGAAAGCTGGAGCATTCCCTTGTCCTCCTCTGCTCTGTAGGATTTCAGATGGCAGCCATGGGCCCCGAAAGGCAACTCCGAGAATGGGAAGCACCCAGAAGTCAAACAAAAGGAGAAAGGTCAAAGCTGGTTTTCCTTGCTGGGGGTGGTGATATGGGCCTCTCAGGAAGCTGAAACAGGAGGATTGCAAGTTTGAGGCCAGCCTCAGCAACTTAGAGAGGCCCTAAGCAACTTACTGAGATCCTGTCTCAAAATAAAAAATGAAAAGGACTGGGGATGTGGCTCAGTGGTAAAGCACCTCTGTGTTCAGTACGCACGCACGCACAGATGGGTTTCCTTGGACCTGGAGGGGAAAAAAGAAGAGATCAGGCCAGGGAAGTGCCCAAGAGGCTCAACCATCAAGAGACGGAGTGTCATAGACAGGAAAGACTCCAGCATTCCCATTTGCTGGATGAAGAAACAGGCTGAGGTTTTTGGGTTTCAAGTTCAAGAGTCTTTTGGAAGTTAGGAACTGGCAGAAGAGCCAGCTGACAACGAGGTGCAGACACAGGTGCAGGATGAAATGGGGCAAGGCTTCCCAACCTCAGCATATAAGTTCAGGTTGGAAAACTCTTTGTGGTAATGGAGTCGTCCTATGCACCCTGAGATGTTTAGCATCATCCCTGGCCTCTGCCCACTAGATCCCAGTGACAATCCCATGTTGTAAGAATTTTTAGAAAGTCTCCAGACATTGGTAAATGTCCCCTGAGAGGTGATTATCCTTGGTTGAAAACCACTAGTGTAGGCACAGGAGTCTTAGGATAAGGCCCCTCCTCCCTCCAGTAGCTCCACAGTCCACAGACATTTCCTGCTCCAAACAGCAGGCATTATGGCAAAATTAGATTAATAAAATTAATACTGGGGAGACTGACTTATTCTGGTGAGAAGAGCAGGGCCCCACCAATAGCTTTTCATCTGGTGACTGAGCTCATATCAAATGTCTAAAGAAGAGATTCTGAGGATGTGGGTCATGATGGCTAAGGAAGCCAGACATGGTGGTGCCACCTGTAATCCCAGTGGCTCGGGAGGCTGAGGCAGGAGGATCTCAAGTTCAAAGCCAGCCTCCTCAATGGCAAGGCCCTAAGTAACTCAAGGAGACCCTGTCTCTAAATAAAATATAAAATAGGGCTGGGGTTGCAGCTTAGTGGTCGAGTGCCCCTGAGTTCAATCCCTAGTACAAAAAAAAAAAAAAAAAAAAGTCTGCTGAAGCTTCTACTCCAGATCTAAAGGTCAGCAGTGCTCAGGAGACCCCTGACACCTCCATCCCTGAGGAACATCAGAGAAGGATGTGAACGCTGTACCCCAGAACCAGGAGCTCATCGAGAAGAACCAGGTTTGGTCTGGAATCTGCTGGACAGGTTACTGGAACAGAAGTGAATAGGTCATAAGAACACAAAGCTCCTCATCTGGTGCCTGAGCTCATATGAAGTGTCTAAAGGAAGACAATTTCTGAGAATGTGGGTCATGATGGCTGCTGAAGTTTCTACTCCAAATCTGAAGGTCAGCAATGCTCAGGAGGCCCCTGACACCTCCATCCTGGAGTCTTGTTGAAGTCTGTTCCTGAGTAGATAGAATGAAGAGTCGGGCCTACTTTTTCTTCTGGTAGGCACAGGGTCTCTGGTCTAATGACAAAGTCCGTGATCTACTTTGA